GAAAGAGCTTGGAGCAGTTTGAGCCAGATGGCACAGGGAATAAAAAATGACGCTTGTGCAGACCTTGGGTCAGTCTGACTCTGTAGACTGTGTTCTCGCTGTTTGCCAGGAGAATTTCCACTTCAGTTTTGCAACAAAAGAACCACATACAGTTTCAAAAGATAAAATGTAACTTAATTTGTATTTGTTTAGTTTCTGATTAAAATTGTAAAATTTTCTCATCGTATAAATTCTAACAGAGATCAGGAGACGGTGAAAAATCAGTTGTAACAAAAACTTCTAGTGTCACTGCTAATATTTTAAAGATGTTCTTATAAGCACACTGCCTTGTAACTTCGTTCTCCATGTAACAATATACTGTGTACTGTACATCTTTCTAATAAATACATTTCATTTATTTTTATTTTTAAACAGGACATAGCAAAATAAAAAAGCAAAGAAAAAAAAAACCAAAAGCCAAATGACAACAACAAAAACAATAGTGATACAGGATTTCAACACAAGATAAGAATTTAACAATGTGCACTTCTTTTCTAATGACTGCATAATATTTTACTGAGTGACCATGACATAATTTATTATAAAGTCCTTGAGGATGACTTTTTTTCAATGTATCACTGTTTTGTCATTTTTGAGCTACATCTTTCTTCAGTTTCTGAACCAACTGACGATTTTACCAATGAGAAACACTGTAATGGTAAAAAATTTTTAACCAAAGCATTAGTTTCATTGTTACCTCTTTTCTGTCCCTCAACAGACCTCTTTCAAGCCCAGTGCTTTTCAAGTGCTTTGCTTCTGGAGTCTCAGGCCAGGGGTTTTCCTTGGTATTCTTTTTTGTTCATATACTATTTCTGAAATTTCCCTATAAACTGTATTTTCTTTATTTTCTTTCTTTTGGCATTTCTATATCCATATTCGTTTACTGTATATTTGCATGTTCACATTCCTGTACCACCCAGTAACATATTTTGTGCTTTTCCTGGCTGTTACATTGTAGCGAGGCATACCAGCTTTCAAATGTAGCCTCTTAGCTTCCTTTCCTACAGTCCCAACTAATCGCTGCTCAGACCCGCGGCACTCCCACCCACCGCATATTCCCTCCTATGCTCGTGTTATTCTCTTGACCTGGAATGGCCTATATTGGCGTCTATCGTTGGTTGGTCTCCCCGGCTTCAGCTCGCAGGCCTGGCCTTTCAGGAAGCCTTGTCTGCCCTCTTTTCTTAGCCAAAGTTAATTGCTCTTTCTTCTGTGCTTCGCAGCACTTCATTATTATCTTTAAAGCACTCTCATTTAGGAAGACGTTTATTCAGTGCCTATGGTGGGCTCCGAAGGGCAGGGGAAGGCAGAAGAACAATAAGCCTTGGTACCCACGCTGACTCCTTAGCCTTGGTGTGAGATGTGAACACACAGTCCCAACATAGGTTGGCAGAAGCAGAAATGGAGGTAAGCACAAAGTGCGAAGGGTATCACATGGTTGACTTTCACTTAATGTGTGCTTTTCCTTTATAAAAGTCAGGAGCCTGAGTGATAAGTGAGCCATTTTAAAGTCTCTTTCCCCCAACCCAAAAAGCCAGGACTTTCTTTACAGTGGCCGCAGCGGCAGCGAGACCGCATGTTAACGAAGTCATCTCAGGTGTGCTAGAAGGGTCCTGGGAGGGGGTAAGAAACCAGGCACCGGGACAGTGCCAGGGCCCATATTTCCCGGAGTCAAGTCTACTTTTTTTACATCTTTCTTTCCTCCCTGAAATAGATGCACTCTCGCCTCCAGATTTAGAATAGGAGTCATGACTATTTCACGAAAGCCTGGAAAATATGACTTTTCCAGAAATGGTCTGGGTCGGTCATAGATCTTCGGGCTCCTGGCAACTGCAGGACAAGGCTGTGCCCTAATTGGATCCATTTCCTCCCAGGCCTGATTGGGAATTTTGCACCAGCTCGGCGAGCCGTACACCTCGGCCCCCGGGGCCAGCGGGACACGCTGGAGCGGGGCCTCTCTGCCGGGGTGAGCGCTCTCTGCCGCCGCAGGCTGCTCCAGCTCTCCACGCCGTCGCCCGATCCGCGCGCGGCTCCGGCCCGGGTTTTGCAGCCTGCCCGCCGCCGCGCTAGTCAAGCCGGAGGCTGGCGCCGCCGAGGCCGCCGCAGCCGGGGCGTGGGGACCACACTGCGCAGGCGCGCCCGCGGGGTCCTGGCTCCCCGGGCCCGGGCTCTGCACGGCCGGAACCCTCGCGCCCCGCCCTGCCCGGAGCCGCCCGGAGCCGCCGGGCCCCGGACCCGCTCTGCGCGCCGGGCGGGACTATTTTTTCAGCCCGTGTTCTCCCAGCGGCTGGGAAAGAACGTTCTTGGCTCTCCCCGCCTGGCTGCGCCTGTTCCCGCTCCTCCCCCGCCGCGTGTTTTCCGCCCCAGTAAAGATCGTGCCACACAAACAAGCTTCGAATGTCCTTTGCCGAGCGGGCGGGAGGGCAGCGAGTGCAGAGCCCGAGAGGGCCATTTTCAGGAGTGTCTCCAGAGCCGCTAAAAGTCTTGTTTTCTCCCCAAGTGGAAGACGTGGGGGGCGGGGGTGGCGTGGGGCCGCTTCCAACTGCTACACACGCTCGAATAGTTGTCAGTAAAATCAAACTGACGTCAGCCCGGGGGAAAAAGGTCTCTTTTGTTCTTCTGTTCTTTCCCCTCCCCTCCCTTGCGATCAAAGGCAAAAAACCCATTTTTTTGGAGGTAGTGGGGGGAAGACAAAAAGGAAAAAAAATTGCAATGCAAAGAGATAGCTTCCATTAGAGCTCCTGCCCGGACGATGGGAATGTTTAATGAATGCATCAAGTCTTTTGATCACCCTCGCTCGGCTGGGTTCAGTAGTGCCGGAAGGTTACTTGCATATCCTGTGGCTGATCTGAAATTCGATCAGCAGAGGGGGCAAAGAAAAGAAAAGCATTTTAATGGGAATCAATAGAGGATCATAGGTCCTGGAAGGAAATACGTGTTGATTAAAAATGCCACAAGATTAAAAAAATGTTCATGACTGGCTTAAAAAAATGAGAAAAAGGAAAAAGCAAGGAGGGAGAGAGAGAGGAGAGAGAGGAGGAGAGGGGGAGGAGGAGGAAAAAACCCTTAGCAATCTATTTTCTGTGTGTGTTGCTGCCAGAGAGGCAGTCAGCAGACCAACAGTTTGTGTAATGCTTCAAGCTACAGCGGGCAAATTTAAAGCTGTATGCTCAGAACAACATAATAAATACTTATTGAAAATGCATTTCTATTTCTAAGCGGGGTTCACTCATGCATTATACAAAGCACCTAGGGCTGCAGTAACAAGGCATAAGGGGACGAATATGGTGTACTGTGACTCAGGTTCTTAAAACTTGAGCTTTTAGCAGTTGAGTGCAAAAATATACACACACTTTTTTAAAGTTAAAAAAAAATCTAGGAGCTTTGAAAGACACCGAAGATTTAAATTGTCTGAAACTTTGAACTTGTAATTTAAAAAGTAATATGATAACTGACAATGAGGAGTAGGAGGGGAGTTAACCATAGTGGATAGCGTATTGATTGGGTTACAAAGTGGAAAATTATTGCCCTGTAGGTAGGGAAAGTGATCAACAGTGTGATAAAACCGTTGAAGGTTTTATGAATACCCACCTACTACAGTAGGAAAGGGAAGAAGGCTTTTAAAACCTATGCTGACATGAAAACACAAGTCTTATTTCTATGGCCTTTTGGAAAAGAATCAATAGCATTTACATTTTTACACATTAAAGTTTCTTCAGTATTGTGAAGGCATCAGAAGGCAACGGTGGGTGAACTTTTCTTTTGGTAGTGTTTTAGGGGCTCCTCCAAAGGATTCTGCATTCTAATCCTTACCTTTTATCCATATCTTCCTTATTTTTACCTTTTTTTTTCATTATTACTGAAGAACATAAAAAGGATCAGGGAGCTTTTTTAGGATGCTTTTTCGAGGTTATTTCCAATAAGGTGTTCCTCTGTTTTATGGGAAATTGATTGTAGGATCCTCCGTGGATGCCCAAATTCCCTACTCAAGTCCCTAACGTGGTTTGGGACTTGCATATCATCTACACAATCGTCCTGTATGGTTTAAATCATCTCTAGATTACTTAGCATAGCTAATCCAATACTGTGATACTGTATTGCTTAGGGAATAATAAACCAAATATTTTTGGTACATATTTGGTACAGACATACTTAAAAAAGATTTTTCTCCATCTTTTATTGTTTGAATCCATGAATGTAGAAGTCATGGATAATAATTGTCTTAGTTACTTTTCTCTTGTTGTTGAGATAAAATACCTGATGCCCAAAGTGAAACTAGGAAACATTTATTTCACTTACAATTTTTGGAGGTTTCAGTCCATACTCTGGCCAAAGGCAGCTGGCTCCAAGGCAGGGTGGCGTGGCTGAGCTGCAGCTGTTCATGGTAGCTGCAAACAACAAGAGCTAAAGGGCAAAAGTGGGAAAAGCATGCCTTCTTCCTTCCCTTATATAATATGCCAACTACCTGCCCCTGGGTGGGTACAACTCACACACTGCCTATCCCAGTGCTAGACAACAATCATAAATACTAGTCTGAGCTGTCTCCATGATTGCATGAGGTTTGGGGGCCATCTAAGCACAGACCATAACAATAATAGAGGGTTGACTGTATTTAATTTCAGTAGTTCAGCTAGAAGAGAGTCTGTTGAAATTAAGATTTTCTTGTTCTTCCACAAATTCTTACTTCAATATTTGGACAAGGAATATATTTCCTTTCTCATTCATATTTCCAGCAATGCTTTTAGAACAAAATCTTGCACAGTGAGCTGATTGAATGCTTTGGGTTAGTAGTATAGGCAGATGGCACACTGGCGGAATTTCACAAAAGGTGTTACTGGGTAAGCTCAGACAAGTGACCTAGCCTCTCTAAACTTCAGGTCCCTGAACTGGTAAAATGGGGATACTTATACTGTCTCACCAGGAATCACATTTGTGGCTGAAATAATATGTGTAAAGCACACAGCATAATTTATAACATCTTACTATATAGACATATGCATGTATATAATTTTATATTGTTTATATTACATAACCTCTCTCTCTCTCTCTCTCTCTCTCTCTCTCTCTCTCCATTTGTTCCTTCACCAAAGATCTCCTATTCAGGAGCCATAACAACTGTAGTTAGATTGCCCTGTGGATCTTCCTTAAGTCTGAGTTGCAGCTGAGGTGATGTTGAATGACTTTCAAGACTATACCCTCAGAGTCTTGCTGTTCCTTACAATGCTGGCTTTCAGGACACTTCCTCTCAGGACCCAGCTGTAATCTTCAAGAATGGTGAATTGTGTGCAGGTGAGTTGCACAAAGGTGGGAAGGCTGATAACACTCAAGTTCCAATATTCTCCTTGCCAAAAGACAGTATCAGTTGTGAGCCCTGTGAATTAGCTATCTTGGGTGTCCAGTGTCCCCCAACATAGTATGTACCAGTGCCTTTGCACTGAGCTACCTTGCCTTTTTAATTTTTATTTTGAGACAAAGTCTTACTAAGGCTTCATCGCCCAGTCTGGGCTTGAACTTGGAATTATTTTGTCTCAGGGTCCCAGAGTGCCAGGATTATAAATCATGTACTACTCGCCCCCCACCCCCATTGAACCTTCTGATGATTCTCACCCTAACTCCTATTATCTGATCACAACTGCATGAAAAAAGCAGTAAGAACTGCCTGTTTGTGCTTAGCTGACCCACAGAATCATGAGATGTAAGAAAAAAATCAAAACAACAACAAATGAAACAAAAACATAAAATGAGCACATGCTGGTTCTAATTTTTGAATGTGTTCTCCAAATTTCAGGCACAAGAAAACCTAATTCCCAAAGTAAAATGTTCTTGATATTTAAAGGTAGGACCTTCAGGAGTTGACTTATGGAGTAATGGGTCATTGAAGGAATGGCTTTGTTGCAAAAGTGAGCTCTCTCTAACACATTTGCTCCGTCTTGCTTTGATATCCTTTATTACATTATGGGAGCAAGCAGGCCCTCAGCAGAAGCTGAGCATATGTGGCTGCTTGGTCTTGGGCTTCTAGGTTCCAGAACTCTGAGCAAATAAGCTTAATTTTTTTAAAAAAAAACAGTAATATACTTGGTATCAGGTATTCAGGTATAGCAACAAAAAGATGACTGAAACAGCCAGCTTTTAATGAAATCTTTATTTTACGTTAGGTATTAAGCCTGTTTGATAAACAAATGAAATCAGCTAACTGCTTAACAGTTTCTTCTTTACCATTTCCTGCCTGCCCCTCTTATTCTTCAGTACTTGCAATAACATGCGAGTCTTGTTGTTGAAGCTATTGAGCTAGGTGTTGGCTTCACAAAGAGAGAATTTTGTATGAACCTTTCCCAGGAGAGCTGAGTCCAAATGAGAGAAGCTGCTTTATCCGTGAAAGGGAGACTAACTGTATACTACTAGATCCTGGCCTGGAGTGACGCATGTTGAACCATTTGTCCTTAAATGAAAATGTTGTTTATTTTCTATAATATGAGCATAAAAGGGAGAAGGAGTCATCTAGGATTTGAGTAGGCCTTTTGCTTATATAGGGAGTGTTTCTTTTTTTTCTTTTTCTTTTGTTTCCTTTCCTTTTCTTCTTTTTTCCCCCGTTCAGATTGGGAATTGAACCTGGCGCCTTCATAGTGAGCTACATCCGTAGCTCTAGTTTTGTGTTAGAGCCTTGCTAGTTGTTAAGTTGCCAGGGTTGGGCTCCAACTTGTCCTTGTGTCTCAGCTTATCTGAATGCCGTGATTCACGCCTGCCCCACCATACCTAGCCCTTAGAGGTTTTTTTTTTGTTTTTTTTGTTTTTTTTTGTTTTTTTTTTTAGTTATTTTTATGTATTTCTTCTTCCTTTGCTGGATTTTCAAAATGTTAACTAACATTCAGGAGGATACATTCTTTATCATTTTAGGAGCCACCAAAATTAACATGCTTAGTATTATATTTTACTTTACACTTCTGGCAGTAAATAATCGTTAGCAATGTATATATGCCTCAGTATCTGTGGGGGATTAGTTCCAGGATTCCTTGTGGATAACCAGATTCAGTGATGCTCAAGTCCTTTTTATAAAAGGGCATAGCATTTGCAGATAGCATATGCACATCCACTATGATGAGACAAAAGGTCCATACATACTTAGTGTAGATGCAATTAAATCCACAGCTGCAGAGCCCATGGAAATGGAGACCACCTGTACATCTCTTATTTGTAGTATATAATGGGAGTTTTCTTGGGTCTTTGGTAGAGTGCAAATAATGACTTTCACATGGAGGGCCAGGTCTTGAGCTATATCCACCCAGATATAGCTACAGAATTACAGTGTTCCTGAGACGCAGTTCTTCCCCCAAAGATGAGTTTGTCCAAGAGTGGTGTGAGGAAGGAGGTATGGTCAGGAAGTCATAAATAAGTAAAGTACAACTTAATATTTTTATTTTTGAAAGAAAATTCCTAACTTAGCATCTCACTTAAAATTTTAACAAAAATCATAAATGAAAAGTCTATAAATCTCAATGATTGAGGTTTAGAGGCAGAGGTGGGCATGAGGTGGGGGAAGATGTGTGCATGCTTGTGGAAAGAATATATGGCTTCATGAATCCCAGAGTGAAGCCATGTTACTTCAATATTTAATTGGATTACAGATGAACTATCTCAGTTGCATGATTTTGTGTATGCTTTTTTTTCTTAAAATGATCATATAGATAAAACTCAAAGCATTTTTAAAAATTGGTTCATACTGATCATATACATTGTGTGTAATATGCACAGTAAAAAAGATTTTTCATAAACAAAAGACTCAGCTGCTTTTCATAGATCTTTATAGATCCTTCAAAAATTGTATTCTGAATACAAGAATTCTCACAATCTTCCAGAATGGAAATTGCTTTCTGGAATGCACCAACTGGAAAATGTAATGTCTTCTCATATGGTACTGGCCTAAATTGCACTCCAGCCACTTGCTACTGTGACTCAGTTTGTATCATCCTATGGTGGCCTGTAAACTTCATTTCAGTGGAATGATTGGCTCACTTAGCTCAGTCTGTGGTTGAGACTTTCTCTTGAAATTGGAGCCTTTTTATGATGCTTGATCCATGTGTTTTATTCATTTAATTAATCAGTTCAACAAATATGTGTTATCTGTCTACTGTGGACAAATTGCATGAACAAAGGGGTAGGAATATACTGTTTTTTTTATAACTTATTAAAAATTTTAAACACACTAAACAAAACAGAAAATAGGTAGAAATAATACATACGTTCAGAGGAAAAAATAAACAGTAAGAAATCACTAGTTGATGTTTACATATTGTCATTTTACAAATAATTGTTCAAGATACAAAAGTGGAACATATAAAGTGGGAATTCAAACAGCAAGACTGCAAACAGTTCAACAAAACTGCAACCGTCCACAAAAACTTAGTAACATGGTTGTCAACCCTGTACACTTAAACATACATGCAGTTATCCATATCTTCATTTATGTTTAGATTAAACAAACTAAAGCAGGTTAAAATCATTCTGAACAAAGAATAATAGTATTGCTAGATTTCACATCATGACACTCCGTGATCAGCACTGGGTAATGTAGTGTCTCTTTTTTTTTTTAAATTTAATTTAAAGAAACACTAAACAAAAGAGAAAACAGGTAGAAATAATGCATACTTTCAAAGAAAAAAAATAAACAGCAATCATTAGTTGATGATTACAGCTTGTCTTCTTCTAAATAGTTATTCAAGATACTAAAGTGGAGCATATAAAGTGGGGATCCAAACAGTGAGATTGCAACCAGTTACGTTCAACTATCCAACAAAAACTTAGATATATGGTTTCAATCCTATACACTTAAACACACATGCAGTTACCCATATCTTCAATTATGTTGAGATTGAACAAACCCAAGCAGGCTAATATCACTCTGAACAAAGAATAATACTATTGCTAGGTTTCACATTATAACACTCCAGGATCAGCACTGGGTACTTTAGTGTCTCTTTTTCTTCAAAGTATCTGTTCATTTCATCATGTGTCATAAGATCAGTTCTCATAAACTGCTTATAGATTCTACATATGCATGAGTTTTAACATGTATTTCTATCTTTTCTATATTAGAGGGAGAAACAAAACAAAGCAAGACAAAACAAAACATATTTCTATAAACACATGAAACAAAAAAACATGTAAGACCATTGTACAAACAGTTCTACCATAGTTCCTGTGTTGTCTCTTGTTATCTTCAATAGAATTGGCTATATCATCAAACATAGTATAATTGAATATATCAGTACATAACAGTAGTAATAAAAACACAACTTTGTATATAGTATAGAACTTCAAAAGCAGGTAGTTATCAAATCAGAATGTGTATCGTAGAGTCTTGTCATCTTAGTGTAGTTACCTATACTGTCAGACTTGATACTATTAATCATATCAGTTTTGAATAAAATCTTCTCTGACTCATTTCTGTTATACTCTTTTTTTTTTTTTTTGCCTTCAGTGGTCTGCTTATCTTCTTCATTCTGTTTTCTGCTCCATTCATTGAGGCCTCTCTGCCACTGTTCCTGGAATCCTAGTACTTTTCTCTCTCTCTAGAATGCCCTGCAGCATTCTCTGTAGAGTTGGATTGGTGGTTGCGAATTTCCCAAGTTCTTCTTTGTCTTGGAAGTATCTTGTTTCTCCATTAATTTCTAAAGACAGCTTATCAGGGTATGTCAATCTTGGATAGAGGTTATTTTCTTTCAGGGCTTGGAATATTTCACTCCAGGTTCTTCTTGACTTGGTTTATGTCGAGATGGTTTATGTCAAGAAGTCTGCCTTTTTTCTGATGGGCCTTCCTTTATAGGTTATCTGTTTCTTGTCTCTAATAGCTTTTAATATTCTGTACTTATATTGAATTTCCGGGATCTTGATTATTATATGCCTGAGTGTAGCTCTGTTTTGGTTGTAGTGGCTGGAGTTCTGTATGCCTCATACAGAATCAGAATGATATCAGAATATCATTTCCTTTTCCTATGTTTGGGAAGTTTTCCTTAATTATTTCTGTGATTAACCTTTGTAGTTCCTTTGTTTGTACCCGTGCTTCTTCATTCACATTCTTTATTCTGAAGTTATAGATCCTCTTGTCGTCTTCTAGCCTTTGTATTGTTACTGCTTGTTTCCTTGTTATTTTTAAGAAGTTTTCCCTTTTATAATCCCACATTGCAAAACTGTCCTGCAGTTTGGATAATCTATCCTTAGTTTCTTTCAAGAAGATTTGCCATCTTTCCATAGAGTTTTAATTTCCTAGTAATCTCTTTGAATCGGCTTCATGT